GGTGAATTTGTCGTAAATTCACATAATTAGTAATTATTACTTAATCAGGTAGCCAGGTCAGTTGAATCACATTAAAATGAAATAAATACTTGTTTCATTTTTAAATAGACTTGGACTAAATTATGAAATAAAATTTAGAGGTGAACGACGCAGAGGTAAGAGTAAATATGATTTTCTATGTACTTGGAAAGCAAATAAACATGAGAAAATGCTTTACATTTATCACGTCACTACTACCAGCGCTGTTTTAATCTACTGAAAACACGTAAATATCAATGATTAAAACGTGTAGTCCAGTCTGTGATGATGGTATGATGACAGAACCCTATAGCTTTTGCTAATTAGCGGGATGTTAAATTCTATGCTTAGTGTCAACGAGAGAGTGACATATAATAGATCAGATGGATAGCTATTTGTTGTGTTATCTAACCTTGGACAAAATTTCGAATAGACAAAGACATGTATTTAAAACCCATAGAATGATTAGTTTTGTCAATTGTAACTTTCTTCTATCCTGGGTCTCGCAAGTATACGTTAGCGATCATCTACACATTTTTAATTGTTTTGTTGGTCGAACGAAAACTGTGATCACGTGTACACACTAGAAATAAAAACAAACAACTTACATTTATTTATTTTGTATAATGCTGATGTTCAGTTTAACTAGTCTTCTATAACCTAGAGATGCGATTTCTCGTTCGTAATTATTTGCTTCAGGACTGAAGGAATCATTTAAAACTAATATTTACTGAACATGAGGTAGCTGTCATAAGTTCGGTAGCCTATTGCATACAACCTTGGTGTTGAAAGCGTTGTGGGTATGAGACTATAATTTGTGGAGAATCTTTAAACAATCTTTAGGTGATCTTGTGTCCACCCACCCACTAGGGTTAAATGAAAGTTATAAACCAGTGTGAGGAATTAGGATTTACAGTCGGACGTTAAGGTTAGGAATCGCAGTTAGTCTTCATTACCAACTGAAGTCAACTAGAATGCCAAAATGCTATTCAACCGTATGGGTGAATGAATTTCACGCCAAAACCCAAGACCTATTAACTTAAATGTGATTGGTTCGTCTACAGATTATAGTCTCGCCGCGGTGTGTTGAGTTTGAGACTCATCAGAAGCACCAAACCTCATTGGAATGCAGATAAGCCTATACGATAAGTTGGAAAGGGGAAAGACACAAATTAGAACACGAAATATATTTTTTATTCAGTTTATATGTTCTAATCCATAAATCATTTTACGTTGCGTCAACAACGCTGTTACTTTTGGAACAATCAAGTGTTTACTGACTCAATCAATCTGAATACATATTTGTCGTACTATGCACCACTGAAGTCAGAAAGCTTCTTCGTTATGGTATGGGACGCTTCAGAAGTGCGCATCAGGGATATGTCACGGGGGATCAAACCCAGTACATTCTTGTCCCATGGAGCGTCCAACCTTTATATCACCGTATATATAATTAGTGGCCCATATTTATAACTTCAGTCAGTTCGCAATATTGTGTAAATATCTTCAAATGCTATTGGTGAGTAATTGAATCCCACCCAAAATGGTTGAGCTTTACCGTTCATGGCTTCCCATTGGAACTCAGAGGACCACCTGTCAAAAATAGTCACTATTTGAAAAAACCCGCCTACGATGTGCTCAGAATTCATAGTTCTTCGTTGAATAATTTCAGGTGTTTGCCATCAAATATGGCATGGTGTGGCGAATGTATTTCGGTAACATGACGTCAACAACCAAGTTGAATCTGAGACGACTGGTAGGTGTCCACAATTGAGGGTTTCTAAACAAAGATGAAACACATGGTTTCAAATGAATGTCTCATTAGGACCGATTCGTGTTGAAAAGTATATATTCGAAAATAAGTTATGCAAGATCTGGTCGTTGAGGTTTGGCTTATTTCATATAACTATTTTTGAAAAACACATATACTACATAGATGAACTATTTCAGTAATATTGATAGTGTTACGTTGAATAAATGAATATTGAATTTAGTTCTTGTTATTTAAACAATGAGTTGAATAGTAATAATAACAATAACGTGCCTTATATATTCTGAAATATACATCAAACAAAATTGTGCATAAGACTATGTTGGACTTGATATAATGAAAAGGAATGTCACACCATATTTCACATGAATCTTATCAAATTTCAATAGTTCTCGCGTGTCTATTCCATGGACAATTGAATAGTGAACAATAACAAAATATAAGTTAACTGTCAGTTTGTCAAAGTTTATTGGTAGAAAACGACTCATCAATACTGAATATAGGAAGCATAGAACATATTGAAAACATTTACACCATAAGGGTAACTAGTTTCTAAATTTTTTTACACAAGTTCCAATAAAAGTGGTTATTTAAAAAACAGAAACAAACTATGAAGAATAGACTACTGAGTATCAACCCGTATGTATTTAGTTGTTGAAAAATGATACCCGCTGATGAAGAAAAAAACATCTCTTAAACATGTTATAGAAAAGATGTAATAAACGTTAAATTGGTGTCTAATAAAAATACAAATCGTTTATTAGAAATCTAGAAGTACGTTACAAACGCATTAGTCTAATAAATTAGATTTTTAAAATAATTTTACTAGGAATTAAAAAAGTACTCATTCAACAAATTCAGGATTGAGTGCTCACGACCCGACAGATGCGAATCAAACACTCGTTTAACTTGTATAGCTTTAATGGTAATTGACTGAATATCAGACTGCGGTGAAACTAAATTCAAAAAGAACAATCTCCGCAAACAATAATGATAATGATTGTTTAATCACTAGTAATTGGCTTTGAGATGAATTTTTGAAGTACTCTTGGCAGGTAATAGCTGGTGGAATCTAAGACGACAGTTAGATAGACGTTACCGACAACACTGAATGTTCGTTGACTGGTTTTGAATACTGACTGAAGTTGGCAAGGTGGAGCATAATGGCTTCCAACCAGTGTTCTAAGGACATCACGAATGGTATGAGACCTTAGGTTCAATCTCTCGTTCCCAATAGTTAATCGATTAAAGCCATTTTTTGATGAAAGCTATACTAGAATTAAACAATTTCCACAGTACATTTTACTTTAATTGTTCAAAGAAACCACAAAAATGTAGTTTAAAGTTTAATACTTTTTACAAATTGAATAAGTTGATCTTGTTAGGTGTATAGGAGTTCAGATCGAGTTAATGAAATATTGAACTCCAATTCCATTTACATAGATACAAAACTTATTATTGAATATTCATTTTCATAAAATTACTTTTTAGTAAATTCAATTACGAAAGGAACTTTTAGACCATTATAATTTAACACCATAACAAAACTTCATGATGACTTAATAAACTAAGATGATAAATACAATAGAATTCCATTAAATCAAAATAACTCGTACCACTAAAATTGTTACCAGAATTTCTAAGTAGACTAACAGCTGTTCCTCGACATGTATTATGGAAAAGTATAAGAAGTTGACCACTGAATATATACTCAGGTGGTTAGTTTAAAGCACAATAAATGGTTTTCTAATGAGAAATAACAAGATAGTTTTATGTGAGATTCTATAAAACAAATTTCTGGTAGGCTCAAACAATGTTTTAGAAAATAATTATGGACTTCCTGTGACACAATAAAGTTAATTACCATTCAGTTGATTAGTCAATAATGTAACTCATTAATGGTGTGAAGATTTGTGTACTGAGTTTTGAGCGACGAATTTTTTTATGTAATGTCTACTAATACACGTGAACTGCTTGAAACAAAGTAATATGCACCAGGGTTCAAAACTGACAAGTGTTCTGATGAGTAAGCCATCGTCTGAACACCACTTAAATATAAACTACCAAACAAAAGTTTAAGCATGAAACTTAACAGTAAATTACGCGATGATCTTGACGCAATACAACAACTACTGGGAAAAAGTCGCTGCTGATCATAATCTACTAAATAGGTAGGAAAATATGGGGTTCTCCAAGATTGATAAACGAGCACCATCCTGTTGGTTTTTCTCAATCCCAAAAAATCGTAAACAATCGAAATTCTCTTAATTAAGCAAGTGGTTGTTTGTTCACCTTGAAAACTTAGTTTTAGATTTAATCTGAAAAGACTTAATTAGATTTGATACAACTCAGTAATCAAATACAAGTTTACGTAATTGACTTTGAGTAACATTAATTTGTAACAGTGTCTGATTGTCCAAACCGAAATGCGAGATTGAAGTGACACAACGGTTGAAAGTTGGGCGTTTAAACTACTAGGTCATCCACTCTCCAGAAACATGATAATGATTACCATCTCAAAAAAGCATCAAAACTAAGATGAAACACCTACTAAATATTCTCCCGAATTCATACAGGTTCTTTGACTAATTTGAATTTTCAATGACATCAAGAATGTGCATATTTCATTGAAAATCCACTAATTCATGTCACATATTTACTTTAAACAACCATTCACATCATATTTAATTTTTTTTAAAACGGTAGTAAACAGAATAAAGAAATTATTCAATAAATGGTATTTTTTTCGAGTAACAAAAAATCAACTCTCAGATATTAACAAGAAAATAAAGAAACAGAAGAGATTAGGAAACTCTTGTAACAATAAAGTATTTTTTTAGTAATTAGAAGTATGCTTTAAGAGGCACTAATTTGAAAGCTTGAAAAGAAAAAAAAAGGCACATTTAAAGTTTTATTCCCAAACTGTTTTTATTATTTAACCATTTTTTGTATTCCACCAGATATTGCCCTGATGTAAGAAATATAAATACAATACACAATCTTAGTAGTATAATACACCTTAGAAACAAAGATATGTAGCTATTCAATTTTAATGAAAAGAAATATTACAAAAGAGGAAGAAGGAAAAAATGAGCAGTGTAAGTTTATAAGGAAGCAATACCGCATACTTAATCATCCTTTTTTTTCTTTATATGTTTAGTAACTTTAAAAATTCGAAAACAGGTAATTACAGGATAACTGAAAGACTTTCAAATGGTAGTGATTTGACCTAACCAATTAGTTGTAATAAATTCGTTAGGCTTGTTTTTTTCTCATTGATTTTAGAACGTTGTGTGTATTTGTGTATATATGTGTGCACTTCATTGATTTCACCAGTTTAATTGGGACGTTGTTTAATTTTTGGTAGAATAAGTATTTGTACAAGAAAGCGGAATAAAATACTAACATTTAAATCCATACTTCCACCAGTCTCCATACGACAAGCATAATAATTCTCTTCTGGAATTGGTATCACGGTTATATCACTAACAGGTGTATCAGTGAGTTGTTTATAATTAGAATTCAAAGATTCTATTGGTGAAGGCATTGACATTGTACAACCGTTTTTATTATCCTCTACTCTGTCAGTGACCTGAACAATATATATGGAGAAGGGTAGAAAGTAAAGAAAGGAGACACTAGGAATTAGGTAATCAAAACAAGAATAAAATACCACAATGTAATACTAACCGATAGTAATAATAATAATAATAATAATAATAATAATAATAATAATAATAATAATAATAATAATAACGATAGCAATAACAACAACAATAATAATACACATGAATCGTAAACAACCGCAGCCTGAAAGTGTTAGCTAACCACACACAGAAATGATGGGTGCTTTTGCGAATAAAATCTAAGAAATCAGACTTGTGAAATGGATCAAATAGATTTGAGCGGATATATTAAAAAGTAGTCGATATGAATATATCCGAAGAGATCAATCAGTCACGACGGAGAACCTGTACTTATGTGCATCGATCCAAGTTGCCAAACCCCATTAGCACAGAGAGATGATGCCAGGCTAAATCCTAGAAAATAGGTAGTAAAAGTATCACTGGCAATAAGGAGGATTAGGCATCGAATATATGACTCAGAAAGAAAATATAAATTAGCGAAATGAAAACGAAAACGTTGTGAGACATTTAGAATCTCAGGATTTAGGGGAAAACAAGGAATGGATGCGCCTGCGCCATTGCAAACGATTTCGAGCAATTTCATTCAGTCTCTAACCACTGGTTACGATAATCACGTGGACTCTAGCCAGGTAGTCTGTATTTATTAACATGGCCAAACCCAATTGTCAATGTTTCCATAGACTGATGTCATGTTTTGGTTTGGCCGCCCCTAACTTTCTTCCAGCCTACTCCTGAACCAGAAAACACCGCCCGTCGCGGTAGGTGGTGGTTGGACATACGCAAAACACGTCCCGACCACCTCAGTTGATGAAGATTTACTACTCCATTATTCATTTCCCATATTTATCAACTACTCTACTCAAAACCCAGGCATTTCTTACTTCGTGGTCCCAGAATACACGAGCAATGCTTAGTACCAGTAACCTACCAAAATCCTCTATTACTAATGACCATGTTTCATATCCATGGAGTAGAACGGAGAGAATGGCTGAGCAGTAAACTCGCCCTTTGGTTGGAAGACGGATATCTTTTGAAGGGCTTTTGCTGTAGGTTTCCTAAGTCCCGTAAGACGCAGACATATGGGCGCTGGAACTAGAGCGTGATTCAAATCCAAACATATGCTCTAGAATGAGCTGATGGCAATGTGATTTATTTGAGTCCATCGATGAGTCGATTGTGGATGTATCCACGTCAGACTGTTTCTCCTTATGTTTAAAGTTGGTGTTTGCCAAAAACAGACGATTTTTTAAGCACAGCTGCAACAGACCGTCGCCATTATCTGTTCGCTAAGTCGCAACACAGTAAGATCCGACGAAGTGTCTTTCGGTTTGGTTTAGTTTACTTGAACATTAAAGTAACCTGTTATTACATCAGAGCGTTTAGCTTTTAGAAGTAGGTTGGATAAATTCCTACAAAATTCACTGTTAACTTCATACGAGCTGTAATCAATGGGAACGTCGGCAAAGATAACGAAAAGGCAACAGCGTGTGCTCCTATCTTTTCGAGTTCTTAATGTCCCGCTTAGTCAAACAGCGCACAAGAGACTTTCTAATGGGATACAGTTCAACAAAGCCTGTTCTGCTTTTGAACTTAATGCCATACCTACACCAACGAGGCTGTAGGAAGAAGTAGTGGGGTATCCAGACACTCGAAAGGTAAATCATGCCGAAGCTTAATATCGACGGGGTGAGGTCAAATGAATGACCGTATTTGGATTCTGTATGCGCACTTCGGAGACGCTACATACACCGATATCGAAAGATTCTCGGGTCCTAGATAAAAAAGCCTGTTTTCCTATCTGACACAAGGTTCAAACACTAAAAGCTGCAACATGTAGTTCAGAGTGGTTTCAATAGACCAGGAATAGCATTTCGTGAACTCGAATCATTAGCATCAGTAGTGCGTTGTGTTAAAGATATATAAGAAGGGTTAGTTGAGGGAATAGAAGAATTATTAAGTGAGGGACGGATTCGATCGTCAACAAGATGATTTTGGGTGCCGATAAAAGTATGAGGGCCGTTATCACTTTTAGGCTGTCTGTACTGTGTAAGAGTATTTCTTCCTAAGGAACCTGAATTACTACTGGTCTTAGCGACCTGGGAGTGTAAACACAGAGACAAAGGAACAATTGCTTGAGGCCGTCAGTGCATCGCATTTTTATGGGAAGATTTCGATGTGTCAGCCCCGCATTCCAAAAGGCCTTACTCACTGAGACGGAAATCTGTGCGGTGAGGTAAGATATGATATTTTAAGGGTCGACATTTACTAACCCTTCCTTCCGTTGTAAGAAGGCAACATCGCTGTGGATAATGGCTGTCAGGGGGAAACAACTTACTGTTGTCACACGCCTCTACAGTCACTAGTACGACTTCGCCTTTGGGCTTTATTTAGCTTACCGTTCTCCAATCAAAAGACCGTTGTTGCTACCTTGACGTGATGATCAGGCCTGCCTATCTTGATGAACCAATCGAGCAATACTGGCTGGGACATTTATATTATATTATTATTTGAACACAGATATTGGTACAAGGAGGCACCAAATATATATGCGCCACACAAATCTCATTTGATATCTGTGAGGGCTGTGATACTACCCGAGTGCCCAAACCGAAGTAGGTGGTGCCCCACACCCGGAGCCTTCGACCTGGAGGTCTGATCCACAATGCAGTGGAGCATCGTAAGAAGATGCAGTCCCATAGTAGCCGGTGACCAACGATTGGTTTATGTGCCATTTGTTCCTACAGGATACCGCAGCCCATTTGCACCGTTGGTTTGGAATCAAGGTTTTCCAACTCCCCTAGGTGGACTCTCCATGTCCACCAACCCGGTTAAAGCGCCGGACATTCGTTTTTCGTCCTCTCAATTTCGTAAACAACACCCCCGCCACCAGAAGGCAATGAGTAGGACTTCCCTGGCAGGGGCTATATACGCGTGGCCATGTGAGAGCATTTCGAGAGGGAGGGCGGACTCTCCCCACTATCGGTCGTACCAGGGCATTTGGGGGCTGAGACAATAGTTCCTCAAAGTTCTACCATGCCAGACAGGTCGGTTGAAGAGCGGTAAAACTAAAAGCAGCAAAACAAAAGTCTGAGGGCGAAGTCGTACTGCTGACTGTACTGAGGTGTGAAGGCAGTTAGGCGTTTCCCTCGCAACCAGCATAACAGCGATGCTGCCTTCCCAAAAACGAAGGGTAGGGTAAGAAAAGGTCGACCCTAAAAATGCACACCTCGCCTTATCCCACGGATATCCGTCTCCGGCGGTAAGGTCTCAACAAGTACGGAGCTGACACGAAAATCACCCACAAAAAGGTCGTGTGTGACCGACCTCAAGCAGTTGTCCCTTGGGCACTGTGGTCACACTCTCAGGTCTCTAAGACCGCCTTTAATCCAGTTTCCTTTTTGGGTAGCCCCAGAAGAACCCTTTCACGGTGTGGGCAACCGGGAAGTGATGACCGCCCCCATACTGCCAACATCACTTAAGAGCACTGACTGACCAATCAACCTGTTAAGCACGGTAGGGCCTAAAGAAACATGTGTTCCAGCCAATAAAGATCGGTTGAGTTATTACGATAGGCAACCCCGACTACCACATCAAGGTAGCAGCTAAGGTCAATAAGAAATGAGTAGTAATGATAACGGTAATAATCGTAACTTTATCCAAAATCATGCAATATGGTGTCTTCAGTAAAAGGAAGTAAGGTAAATAGAGTATTCTGAATGCTTAGATTTAGTCAGAGAAAGATCCTGGACCAAGATTTTGACTGTCTCTAACCTCCTAACATCAAAGTATAGTGCATACTATGTTCAGTCACTCAGACAATCAAGTTACCTTGATTGTACTGAGATTTAGTATAATTGCAGAGACAGTGTTAAACCGTGAACCAATTTAAAAATATAGGGTATTTTATATATGACTGGAATGACTTAAGTATTTAGAAATTCAAAATGATACAGATCATCGATTGAAATGATCAGATGTAAAAGTATGGGAAAGTAAGTAGTTGAAACAAATCAACTGCTGGCTATTGAAGCTTTATAAGAAAAATGCAGATTTATGAGAAACCAGGAAGTAATGATTAGAAAAACATTTACCGTGTATGTGTGTGTATGTCCTTGAAGTGATGGTGTTAGTAAATTAACTAACTTTGTAGTCAGACTATACGTCAATAAAACAGTAAATAAAAGTAATTTAAATGATAAATTCAAATCATTATTCTTCATGATTACGGTGAAATGTGGTTTTGTAATATTAATTTTCGACTGATTCTCGACAAATGTAGGCCGAAGGTAGGGAAAAAGCTAACCTGATTATGAAAGGAGAAAGTTTCTATTATAACTATAGGTATTTAAGAGACTATGCATTTCTCTATTATAATTTATTGGTAAAATGGACTGATGTCTGTCATCTAAACTTTAACAAATTGGGTTGGTAATATTTTCCCATAGTTTCTAACCTGCCTGACTTTAAGTGGCTGCTTCTTAGAGTCTGAGAGGAATAAGTAGCTACTGAAATCAAAAACGTGGAAACTGGATTTGAGCTATAGTTTGGATCAACCACCAAGTAATCAATTCACATAAGAACAGAAATTCACACAAATTGGTCGCTATTCTGAACTTCTTTAAATAAACTTACACTTAAGTGATACCATAAGCGTTTTGATTTTGTCCAACTGTAAGTATTATCTAAGACAAGGATGTATACACCCGAGTTTTCAACACTGAGAGTTCCTTGAACAATTTTTTCATGTGATGATACACGTTTCATTGGGATCATTTCGATATAGGTATCTGAACTTTTACTTGGATCACTTGTAACTTTTTCATCATTTGTAATACAATTTTTCATGAACACACCAACTGCAATGTCATGCGTTTCACATGAAAGCCACCATTTAATCTCATCACCTACATCGACCATTCCAATGGAAATATCTTTACGTGAAGCTGGACCAACTTCAACCATAGTCAAATCCCGGCCGCAATCTGTAAAACGTTTCACTTCTTCAGATACTTCGGACTGTTTGGGCACAGACGGCTTATCATCTGATAGCTTTTTACGAAAAAGAGAGGCAGGGACGGGGCCAGCCCATGAAATTTTTGATGGACATTGAGGATCACCATTAGGATCAGTTATTTTCCACCGTAACAGGCTGGTAATTTACTTGAGTCAATTACTTGGAGTAAAGTAGCACGATAGTCCGATTTTAATACCTAAAAACGACAAGTTAGCGTAAAATTAATAATTGTTTCATGTGTGAAATGATGAGATTAGAAAACATTGTAAGATAATGACGCCACATATTATTTGATTAGTTTATTAGAAAATGTGACAAAATGTCTATTTTGCATATCAAAACTGTTAGACGAGAAGCAGTCAAAATAAACCGTAATGAACAAAAAAGTGAAAAAGCAGTGGCATATTTTCTGAGACATGCAAATTTTAGTAGTTCAAAGTAAAAACCTAAGATTCCTCTCTTAACTGCACTATGCCCCAAAATCCCTTGGTACAGTTGAGAGGAGGAGTCTACCATCCCTTCCGAAATGCTCTCATATGGTCGCGCGTATACAGCCACTGCCAGGGAATTCCTACTCACTGCCTTCTAGTGATAGGGGTGTTGCTCACGGAATTAGGAGGATGAAAAGTAAATGTCCGGTGCATAAACCAGGTTGGCGGGTGCCGAGGATACACATATGAGAGCCAGAAAACCTCTATCCCAAGCGAATGGTACACATGGGCTCCAGGATCCTAGGGGAATAAATGGTGTGTGAACCTATTTTTGGTCACCGACTATCATGGGACCACATTTCCTAACGTTGTTCCATTTTCTTGTGGATTAGGTCTCTAGGTCAAAGGCTTGGGGAGTGGCCCCAAGAAAACCACCTGCTTCGGTTTGGGCAAACGGACAGTATCCCAGCACAAACACAAATTTGCGTGTGCATATATATTTTAGTACCCATTTGTACTTATTTTCAGCTGTTTAAATATATGAATAATTAACTGTGCCACAAAGAGAGTAAAAATAAACAAGGAGTATATATACTCGGTTGAAAAAATGAAGAGCGACGAAATATTCAGGGTTTATATTGAGAACAGTTTTAATTGTGAACTTATATTGACTGGTATTATTTTAAAATGTTGAACAGACCTTAACCCCAAGATTTTGCAGTGGCGTGTAAAGCTGGAATTGGATTTGTAGTCTCTGAAATTCCTACTTATCTCAAGGAATAGAGCAGACAAGACAAACTGACACCCTAACTGAAGCACATTTACATCTTGAGACGGTAAAAATCTGTTAAGACTTGAGACAACATGACTGGAAACTAACCTTATCAGAATAGATCCATTTATCGATTTCCATAATAAAAGCAATAAACATCCCATTATTCTAGTTCACCGTTATTCATAGTATATATGTGCTGTTAGCACTTGATCAATTATATTTATACTACTGATTTTCATTTACCAGAAATTCTACACAAAATCATCAGTAATATATCATCACAGAAATTCAGTTCATGTGATTTATGATGGTATACATTGTTATTCTACGATGTTGGGGTTCTGATAGCACTAATATCTTTAAAACTTCATCTTCAAGAGCTAAATGTTCTGAATTTATTTCAATCACAATCTCTAGTGCGACCCTAAACAGCCTTCTAATTTAAATCTAATTTGATTAAGAAACATCACCAGCTGAAACGAGTTAACTGTTTAAATAAGTGATTGTGGGTCTTAGAATAAATGTAGCACTTACATGGATTTTTTCCTGTGTAAGTTTACTTAACAGAGGTTTAATGAAGTTGAATATAGTTCCAAATATTGGTGGAGCATTAATCACATAACAAATGCGTAAAAACTCAGGATAATTTGCTTCCATTATTGTCATCATTTCCGAAAATACGGGGATCCAAGATGGATGCATATGTTTCAAACTTAAATGTTTCATGTCTAATATAAGTGTCAGCTGGTCAATACAACGATTATGTTCTTTTGACTTCTCATAAAAAACTCTCTGTATGATATATTCCATAAAATAAATTCTACTTTGAATAAACTCTGCGTGTGTAGTGGCTTTCATAAAACCACCTGGGTCGAATCGACCAACAGGAGCACAGAACAATGGACAGCCTTCTTTATCTTCACCACAAAATCCACCGGGAAAGTATTTCTGTATAACGTCTGGGATTTCATAGCAATCAAGTAATGTATCAACCTATAAATGACGGGAAACGATAGAAATGAACTGAATACAACTATAAATAATTAAACAAGTCCATTAAAAACAAATATAGCACACCAATTTCATAATGCTGGACAAAAGCAGAGAAGCATATCAACTCAGCATTTTAAATCACTAAAATAATTACGAACAAACCCTGATATTGTCTTTTTGAAACCTGATAAAGGATCAAGCGCAGTTAACATGAACAAATGTGAATATAAAAGTAAGATGTTATCCATCCGCAGTGATTAAAGTAAGTGTATGCCTGGTGTTGAATTCGGAGGTATTAGCAAACTAAAGGGAAGAGTAAATTCAAACCTAGTAAAATTACTACACAAGAATATTACTGATAAAGAGGAATTTAATTTTCTAAAACCTATATGTTCTGAGTATTTATATGAACTATCTAAAATTCACAAATCAAACATTCCTTTACGCCCAATTTTATCAATATGCCAATCACCTACATAAAACCTAGCCAAATGGCTAAAGAAATTACTGGATCCTATCCCAAAACGTTTATGTAAGTATTCTCTGAAGGATTCTTTTGAATTGGTCGATCATCTAGATGATATCGATATCAATGGAAGGGCAATGGGTTCATTTGACTTGAATCCCTTGTTCACAAATGTACCTTTCAAAGAGACTATTGATATATTATGTGACTACATATCTTTAAATTACCTGTCCCTTTAAAAATTCTTAGATTTACTACCATTATGTACTGACAAATTCCAGTTCACTTTGAAGATAAATACCTTCGCTAGATCAATGGGGTTGCTGTGGGTAGTCCGTTAGGACCATTACTAGATGTGTTTGTGACAAATGTTGAAAATCTGGCTGAAGACCTAATCGAAAATACGTTACTTTATGAGAAGCATGTGGACGATATCTTAGTTGTCTGTGAAAGAAAGGAGGATATGAACTGTTTATTGAATAAACTTAACACTTCAAAACCATATTAGTCTCTCATGCGAAGAGGAGAGTAACGACCAGCTTCCCTTTCTAGATATACTTCTAAATAAATGAGAAGATGGCTTAATCAAACGATTCACATTTAGAAAACAAACGTGGACAGGCCAGTACCTCAGTTATTATAGTTATTGCCCTGTGCAATACAAATGGGGTTTGATAAGGTGCTTATTTAACAAGCTTGGTCGTACTTGCACAAATGACGCTCCTGATGATCTTAGATTGTCAAACAAAACATTAATGGAAAATATCTATCCCCTTAAATTCATAAATAGATGGAGAGTTCATGCTACAGTGAGACGTACTATGGCACTGGCAGAAAAGAAGCCTGTCCGCATCACCTTACCGTTTAGAGGTGATTCAAATAGTCATTTATAGAAACAAAGGTTTAAATCAGTCAATAACAAGACGTATTAGGCAGCGAAGGTCACTATCAAGGAAAGAACAAGGTTCATGCTTCACAGGAAACCTAAAAGACATAAAAACGATTGCGTCACATCTCACTGTGTCTACCAATTAACATGTGTGTGGTCACACAAAAATAGGGAAGAGTAATCGTGATCACAAAATTAGGGTGTGTGAACATGTACATAAATGTAAATAAATAGTATATTTGTAATAACTAAATTGAATTTGGTTATTTATTCTCTGAAGAAGTGACTTACACTAAGCCACGAAGCGTCAGAAAATCTAATTTTTCTACTCATCGGGATATTACAAATATACTATTTATTTATAACAATCTACTCAATGCTAAATTTATTCGAAATGATCAAATCAGACCTTGGTAATGATACCTATACGTACATAAATGGTTGCAGAAGCAAATAGAATCAAATGACCCGATAAGAGTCCGTCAGTCAGCTACAACGTAGAACCAGACACATGTGCATCGGTTCAAGTTGCCATACCTCATTAGCACAACAAGATGAACACCGACTTCATAGAAGTATTTAATTCAGTGGTGGAAATATATAAAAGAAAGATTGCATATAAGGATAGAGTATAGGAAGAAAGATTTACTACGTAGAAAGAAAGATATGAAACGATTTTAATCTCATAGTTTGAAGGAAGACAAATAGTGTATACACCTAAGTCATTGTGATCGATTCTGAACCATGTCACACAGAGTCTCCAACCATTGGTTACGATAGATAGTAAAGGATAAACATCCATCACCCTCTGTTGCCAAACACAATTAGAACAGGTCATAAGGTTGATTTTAACTTGGCTTTTGTGGTGTTGTACAAAAATGTAAGAGGGCGTATACTAAGGTTTAACGAAGCCTTAGCCATACGAAAATTCAAGCCCCCTTTGTGTATTCAAAAACAGTTTGTTCTCACCTACTCTGACAATATTAGCTTATTATCCAGAGTGACGAGGTTTCAAATTTTTTCATATTATTTTTTTATTATGCTTGTTTCCTCTTACCCTCCATTTCTAGTCTAGTTGACCTTTCATTTTTGTAAATAAATGTTCTTAATAAGTATATATGTGATCAGGATGTTCGAAATGTATTGCGCTAATATATCACATAGTTCTGGTAATCTTTGTCTTCTTGTTATACTATCGAAATTTATCAAGGGGACAAATTGCTTGAAGTACCTCTGATCATATTCTTCTTCGTCGTAAATGAACTTGAAGTGAGAAATCGACGTTTGTATAGCAATGGAACGAGTCCCGATTTCGAATCACCTTAAGTCACACTAAAAACAACATCTATATGTTTTATGTATGTATTAGCCACAATTTTTTGCCAGATATTACAGATTAACAAGAGGGAAACATTATTCGTATAATGTGCTGTCTTCCACTATTTTTATTCTCACCGACAGTAAGAAGTAACTGATAACGGTAGTTAGCTTAAATCACATCCTCTCTGAACACTTAGTTGTATTGATTTCCAGCTGCTTTTTTGCTGTGATGTATAGTACTTACAGAAAACAATGGTACACCACGAGACTGTCTAGTGGGCATTTTGTATTCAAGTATGATATTGTCTGCAAAAATAGCTTTATTTTTTCCGAGGTAATATCTCACAACCAAAGATGCATGATTGAATACCACTGGCTTGGAAAATTAATTGTAGCAAAGTGATGATGCTAATTAGTAGCCTAGTACAGATTCCCTTACTCTCAGTGTGAAAGTGATACTACTCAGTTGCTCAAACCTAGATAAACGAGGAGAAATTTGAACACCCAACTCAGCAGTTGGAGGTTATACGCTTAAATCACTAAATCACAGCTGAACACTGCTGTTTTTTATGATAATCACAGTGGAGCTTCGAATGAAGCGCAATTAGAAATAAAATAAACAGAATCGACTTCTATCGACCGGCAGATGACATCTATAATTTGATAAATATGTGCTTAGATTGACATTTTGGGCTATTGTTTGCCAATGTTAATGCCTGGATAGTAACCTACCATAATAAAAGTAATAGTAATAACGGAACATAGCAACTTATTAAATATCCATCTAGTAGTCACACTTTGTAGCAAATAGAAAAATCAACTGGCTGTCCGAATATTCGTAAGCGAAATGAATTTAAATTTGCGAGTTACAGATTAGTAGTTAGATTTCAAATCTACTGACACGAAGATACATAATAAACCACGAGAAGTGATCGACCAAACAACAAATCACAAAGTATAAAGCGGAACAAAGAAGTAATGGGCAGTCAACAGTTACAGACAAACGAGCAGAAAACTAGATGGAATACTACGAAATAATGGAGGAGTTTGACTATAAGGTAATAAAAGCATGAAAGTTTAGAGTGGAACAAAAACTGAACGAACCCGTACCATCGTAATTAACTTTGAGTGTTTCAGTCTTGCAGCTAGCAGCTCGCAAATTGAAATCAAAAATCTTACGTACATGATTCACAACAGCTATTTGTAAATTCATGAGTCAAATCGGTACGAAAACGTCCCAAATGGTTATTCTTACTGATGACCTACCGTCACATTTACCTCGAAAGCTTGCAGTTAGACAGTTTGATGTGAAACTACAGTCCTTAGTAATGAGATTAACTAAATCTACACTAAGTTTAGGGACTTTCACAGACACCGTAGCTAAAATTACGTTTCACTGATATGTAGTGCTTTGCCACTAATCTTTATTTACTTTTTTTTAAAAAACACAGGATAGGGTAACCGAGTCTGTTAATTGCTCCACTTGTACGATTATCTCCAGAAGTTTAATTTAGTTAACAGGGTGTAGTAAATTAGTCAGCTAAAGCGTAGGACCAGGAACAAGATGAATACCAAATTCACATTAGTCACTTCAATGACAGTAATATATAAAAGAAGGATTGTGTATACAATACAGGAAGGGAGGCACTTTAATTTGTCGGTCCAAGGGAAGATAAAGAGTGTATACGCTGGCGCCATTATGATCGATTCTGAGCCATGCCACCCAGAGTCTCCAACCAATGGTTACGATAGTCACGCGGACTCCAAGTAGTCTGCACATACCAACATGGCTCAGACTAGAAGTTAGTGACTTCAACGACTAATGCTAAGTTTTGGTTTGGCCACCCCTAACTTCCTTCCAGCCGTCTCCAACACTAATCAGCATTGCATGTCATTTCAACAAGATATTAGAAGTTACAAATTATTGAATGTAAACACACCAACAAAGTTACTCAGGAAGCTAATATGATTTTTAATATAGCTTGCATAAATATAAGAAACCGAATGCGGTTGCAGGCAACTGATCACTGGAATCAAGCAATGGTCGTTAGCGAGCGAAAAAGAAATGTTAAAACGTGACATATTAAAGAAAGCTTATTACAAAAACTAGGGGATAATAGTGATTTTCTTGAAAAACATGAGTTTGATTTTATCAGTGAAGCATAAGATTTGCCACCTTTGGGTATATGTGCATTGTATTTACCCATACTGGACATATGAATTTATAACCATGACAGGTGAAAGTGAAGTATGCGAACAAACTTGAACCACATTACGATCAGAAGAGCGTTGCGGAATGCATTAGGATCGAAGTTATAATTCGTAAGGTTTTAACGTAAATAGCAAACCCCTATGAGAGAAATAAGTTTCTTTACTAACAAAGGACATCAGCAAGGGTGAATAATGAGCCAATATCTGATTGACTTATTTAAACGTCTCCCTAAAGCTCATCCAGTCTATGGGGAAAATTACTAGTTTCTCGTTGAGCTTGAAGAATAGCCCACTATTTACCCAAAGTCGGGGGATTATAATCCCTATAGGTAATATCGCAAAGTCGAAAAATTAGTAGAAAATGAAACCAGTAGTAAAGACAGCCACAAACGAAAGTGGGTAACTTGTTTATGTTAAACATGAGCATTACCTTCTGAACATCTCTCCATTTTATGTGAGAATACAACATTTTTTCTGCTTCATCAACATCCCAACTGCGAGCGCGCAGCCAACGGACAAGATAACGTTTCGATCGGCATATATCAAGTGGACAACTGAGCATTCTTTCATAAAACTGATGAAGTACTGACAACTCATCTCTAGTCAAACTTTCTTCCAAACCCAAGTCGTACTCCACCGACCACATGAGAACATAAAACCAGCCGTTTGAATTCCCGCCTTGAAAGGAGGTTGTCCCTGAGAGGTCAATTTACTGCTTTGTCTAATTTAGAGAAATACTTTGAACTAATTTTCTGAATACAACTTAAATAGGTATGAAATTCTGATGGACAAGACATTCAGAATCAATGTGGTTACCACTTAACAACATTCTTCCTGAAGGCAATTTAGGGCATGCATCCAAATGTTTGTAAATAAAATGTAAACTTTTTCTATTCATTTCCCTAGCTTGTAACAATAAATCAGCAGTGTTGCGAAGCGATTTCAAGTGAGTTTTGAATAAAGCCGTTATAATTGATATAAGTCCAGGATATTTTTACGCTATTCACAGTTTTATAATTATTCCAGTGACGTATTGGATTAAGCTCCTAGTGTTCTCCTAGCTAAATATACTTTTCATAGATTGACTAGAAATAAATTTATGTCACAATGAAAGTTTGTGTTAAAGTCTTAAAGAACTTAAACACCTATCGTTTTCCTTCTTGTGACACCTGAAATCGAGAATTGCATGCGAGGTACAGTGCTACAAATGAACTACTTTAAATTTCAGATTTGAACATTTCTCTACTATTTTAAGTGATATTCATACTTTACTGAAGGTTTAATCCCCCTAATCGAAAATTTTTCTATGTGAAAGGGTTTGTGGTCAGTCAAGAACGTAAACTTTCTTCCCTAAAGCATTTTGTGAAAACTGTATACAGCAAAAAAAATCGCCACCGCTTCTCTTTCTATTTGACCATACCGTTTCTCTGCTGATGTTAGTGATCGAGATGCATGTATTGCTGTTTTTCATTCCATTATGGAATTTGTGTGAAATTACAGCTCACACACCATATGTAGATGCATCTGCTGTAAGTATTAATGAAATCGTAGGATCGTAATGAGAGCTGCCCAAGCTGAGAATGAAACTGGTGATAGAACCCTTTGTCTTTCTAGACGTTTGAGTTTAAGCCTAGTGGCATTTCGCTACCATACTTCTTACTGCGCCTACGCATAACACCGTTGACAGAGAAACAGATTTGCTGGGTGTTGGTTTGGATTATTTATGCCATCTCTGAAGACTATGGGGTTGATAGCGCTCTACTATTGGATTGAGAGTGTAATAAGTGAAGATCCTTGTTAATAGACCATCCTAGATGTTTCCACATTGAATCAGAACAATCAGTCTGTAAAATTATGACCAAATACATTATTTGGACATTTATCTTCGGTACCAAGATGATTGACTAAATCTCAAAACTGTAGACTCGTCACCATGTGAGTGTTTAATCTATAAGATCCTATGTGAGAGTTAAGTTATTATCTACACTAGCTCATCCTACGTAACAGTCAGCAATATAACGTCTGACGTTTCCGAAAAACACATTTTGGTTAGGTAGATATACTATTGTAGCGGTAAATAAATCCCTAAAATAAATAGCTCTGTAAGTTTTCGACATTGGATGCTGACCATATGTTTTAGTGGACTCATCTAGCTGAAGGCGCTCGGTCAGGCATCCGCACCAGATCACGTGTAGTAACGCCGTGCTCAACATCAACCACAATCGCTAGCCAGATTAGATCAGAGAATCCCGGTATATTGGTCATCGCCAAATATACTCTTCCGATCTCCTCGACTCTGTCTTTTGATTTCTCTTGGTGGGAACGAAACATATTAGAAGGTGTTACTGGTAGAAGCGTTGTGAAACACTGAATACCTGTGACATCATCATTGGTGAGACCGTCGTGATCTGGTACACCTTATTGCAACTGTGAGTCTGTTCCTTTTTGGGATTTTTATATATCATTGCCTTATTTTTTATTTTTTTTAAACATTGTGATTTTTTTTCGTGTTTTTCTTGGATATATATATATATTTTTTCCCCTCGTTCATTATCGTACTTCATATTTCATCATGACTGAACAGACACCTAAAGTACTCAAGCTTAAGACCTTGTCCCCACCTTCGTTTCAACTGATGCCTTTCTGGCCCGACAACATCGAAGCCTGGTTTTGCTACGCAGAAGCCGACTTTTCCGAGCACGGCGTGATCGACACACGTGCACAATTCCTCGCAGTAGTCAAGGCACTGCCGCGGGAATTCAACAGGTACGTAACACCTAGTATGTTTACTAGTGATGTTTCCGATCCTTACGAAATCTTAAAACGCTCGATTCTTAAACGAGGAGACCTAACCGATCGACAAAGGTTAGATCAACTCTTCAACAATATCGACCTGCAACACGGTTCTGCGACGGACATGTTGCAACGGATGAGAGAGGTTATAGGCCCAAGAACTTTCGACGAAGGTCTATTCAAACAACTCTTCTTGTCAAAACTTCCCCAACAGGTGCAAGCAGTTCTGGTCTCGTTCCAGAACAACGCCTTAGACGAACTAGCTGTATCTGCCGACCGCATTCTAGAAATTACGAAACCTTCTACTACCGAGGTATTTTCAGTCAAAGAAAAGCCTCACACGACTCAGAATGACATAACCGACTTATGTCACACACTCACGCGTTATCTTAGTCTTCGTACCGACCGTAAGAGATCGCGCACACCACGTAGAAGCATTTCTCGTAAGCGATCTGTCTCTAGACCACGAGAGACAGATAACCCCGACTGGTGCTGGTATCATAACCAGTATGGAAAGTTTTCCAGAAATTGCAGAAAACCCTGCAATTTTCCCAACACGAAACCGACTGATTCGGGAAACTTCCAAGCCGGCACGCGTTAACGGCAACCGTAGCCGGCGAACAAAGCCGTCTGTTATTCGTCACAGATGTGACAACGAGAGTTCGCTACCTCGTCGACACTGGCGCAGAAGTTAGCGTTCTCCCAGCAAATCCTAACGACCGACTTCACGAATCGACCCTAAACTTACAGGCGGCAAACGGAAAACCGATCGCTACGTATGGCAAAAGGTACGTTTACCTTAACGTGGGTTTACGCAAACCCATCCACTGGATTTTCGTCGTTGCAGATGTTTCTATGCCAATCATTGGTATGGACCTTCTACAACACCACAATCTGATCATCGACACTCGCAAACGGAGGCTAGTAGACGGAAACACTAATTTGTCCGTTTGCGTAACTTCTTTTACTGGTTGTAGAGTATCCCCAGTCACAGTTAAACATATGATAGACCCACTCTATCAACCACTACTCGATAAGTACCCTGGGATACAACAAACGCAAACGAAACTACCGTGTGTAACCAGCAATGTTACACATCACATCACGACTACAGGACCACCTGTATTTTCTAAAGCACGACGACTAGCTCCTGAAAAGCTAAGGTTAGCGAAAAACGAATTCGATCACATGATGGACTTAGGAATCATACGACCGTCAAGTAGCCCATATGCATCTCCGTTGCACATGGTCCCTAAAAAGGACAGCAACGATTGGCGTCCAACTGGTGACTATCGGCGATTGAACGCGAAAACCATTCCCGATCGTTACCCGTTGCCTCACATTCACGATTTGACAGCTACCTTGAAAGGTACAACTGTCTTTTCGAAAATCGACTTGGTTAAAGCGTATAACCAAATCCCTATGGCTACTGACGACATACCGAAAACGGCTATCATAACTCCCTTCGGACTCTATGAATTTTTGCGAATGCCTTTCGGTCTAAGGAATGCTGCTCAAACATTCCAAAGATTCATAGACGACGTTTTTCGAGGTCTCAACTTCGTACACGCGTATGTTGACGACTGTCTAATCGCAAGTCCGGACAGAGAAACACATCTCAAGCATCTGGACCTTGTTTTCGAACGATTACAAAAACATGGCATAACTGTAAACGTTCAGAAATGCCAATTTGGAACCGACTCGTTAGACTTTCTGGGACACACTATCGATGCTCAAGGTATCCGACCCCTTAGAACCAAAGTGGCGGCCATTCTGGATTACCCAGAACCGACCACCGTCAAGCAATTACGCACGTTCAACGGCCTGGTAAGTTTCTATAGACGTTTCATACCCAGATGCGCATCACTTATGAAACCTCTGACCGACCAACTTCGTGGAAATGCGAAATCCATTAATTTGGACGACACCGCACGAAAAGCATTCTCCACAGTCAAGGAACTGATTGCTAAAGCAACAATGCTCGCACATCAGGACACCCGAGCACCCATTAGCATCGCAGTAGACGCATCCGACTCAGCAATCGGAGGAGTCTTACAACAATGGGTTAACAACTCCTGGCAACCCTTGGCATTTTTCTCTAGAAGGTTGCTAGACACCGAATCGAGGTACAGCACATTCGGTAGGGAACTCCTAGCTATGTATTGTGCTGTACGGCATTTCCAACACTATATCGAAGGCCGTGAATTCACTCTTTTCACGGACCATAAACCGCTCACTTTCTCGTTAAGCTCTCCTTCTGACAAGTACTCTCCCCGTGAGTCTCGACAACTGGACTACATTTCGCAGTTTACTTCAGATATTCAACACATCTCTGGAGCAAACAATGTAGTTGCAGACGCTTTATCTCGTATAACTTCCTTGAACAGTTTCCAAGGAATCGACCTTCTTAAACTCGCCGAGCTTCAAAAAGAAGACAGTGATCTTCAGCACGAGTTATCGTCCACAACACTTAAACTACGCATCAAACAGATGGGAACAGGTAAGGAAACCTTACTTTGTGACACATCTACAGGTAGGGATCGCCCAATCGTGCCGAAACATTATCGACGCAATGTCTTCAACACATTGCACAAACTTTCTCATCCAGGTGTTCGTGCAACCATCAAGCTTATAGCAGAACGATTTTGCTGGCCTGGCATGAATAAAGACGTGAGGGAGTGGGCACGCTCCTGTGTAAGCTGCCAAAAATCTAAGGTTATCAGACACAATAAATGTCCCTTAGGCTCGTTTAAAACTCCCGATGCTCGTTTCGACCATGTTCATCTGGATTTGGTAGGACCTTTACCAGATTCAAATGGATACTCTTATCTCTTAACCTGCGTAGACCGTTTC